GGGTGCCAGTGAACACCCTGGCGTAGGGTGCCAGTGAGGTGGCAAATACCCTAACGTAGGGTGCCAGTGAACACCCTGACGTAGGGTACCAGTGAACACCCTGGCGTGGGGTGCCAGTGAACACCCTGGCGTGGGGTGCCAGTGAACACCCTGGCGTGGGGTGCCAGTGAACACCCTGACATAGGCTCAGGGGGCCTAAGTGGTGAAGCTCTGATCCTGGAACCCATTGGGTCTCTGGTCTCTCCTGTTATAGTAAACCACGTTACCTATTTCTGTATAAGTAATCTGTGCGTATAGACAACCTGCATCACCCTAGTGACACCTCAACACAGGCAAGTCCTCACCCGCTGGGCTTGATGCAGCTGCATTTGTTGCGTTGGTGCTGGGAACTGAGGATATGGCCATGAGGAAGAGAGAGCGTGGATTACCTTGAAACCTCTGAATTCTTCCCTTTCCAAACGGCATGGGCAGGTTCAGTGGGACGTAGTGCTCATGGTTACATATCACGCGCAAGAAGTCAAACTTGAACTCGAACAGCGTCTGAAAAGGAAAGACAGCATTTCACATTGAAATACCTGACAGCCTAAAGTGCTAGTGGACTCACAATGCCCAAACTACCTTGGCATCTCCGGGCATGAAGCAGTTTATATAGGTGTTGATCTGCTTGAAGACAAAGCCTCTGTCCATAAAGGTGAAACAGCGCTGGGGAAAGACGAGGCGGTGCTAGTTAGTACAGCGCATATTAAAATCTGCTAGTCGCTTGGTACTATTATGTATTTAACATTTATCTGGCTAAATGCCAGAGCAGGGGTTCCCCAAGTGCCGCTGCCACCTTGACGAACACGGCCAGGCTGTGGTTAGCACTCCGGGCAGCATCCAGGTTGTCCTTGTACTTCTGGGTGATGTGTGGAGTCAGCAAGTTGACCATGGTCTCCAGGGTGTGGTGGAAGGACACAGAAAAGCGCTGGTTTCTGGGAAGCTATGAAATAAGGGAGGACCGTGGTGAATGTGTGACGGGCCCTAACACTGGCCGACAGATCCCTAAGCTCCACCAGGTGCCGTGACCCTCAGAGAACATCTACTCATACCAGTGACGGATCCACATCAGAAGAGCCCAGTGGAAGCTCAGCTAAACACTTGATCCCTGCATTCTTTGACTGTTCTTGTTAGAAAATTTCCACCATGGCTTTCAAATTATACTCACACATGCCAAACTTTCAAATAAACAGGTACATGGGGTGATTAGTGTTCTCTGTGGCTAGAAAACAACACTTGTTTATGTTACAAATAATCACTTGTGGTATAAATGGGGCCATCTGGAAGTTCACAGGTCATTAGGAAGAAATGGGTGTGTTATAATTTGGACTTCTGTACGGTCATCTGGAAAGTGTATGATATCATGCCGGAGAAACCTGCCAGATTCACACTGTTTCACATCTCTCACGGATATCACTTTATTACCCATATCGGTATCGGTTTGTTACGCATATCGGTATCGGTTTGTTATACATATCGGTATTGGTTTTTTTCCCATTACTCATAATTCACAATCAAACACTGGACTTACTTTGACTTTACCACTTTCAATCAAGAACTGGGCCATGGATTTGATCAAGGCGTCAAAGAAATACCAGGAGTACTGAAAAATATGAGCGGAAACAAAAAAGTGTATAATTAATGTATTGATAAAGTGTTGCAGCCGTACTTAAACATCATCAATAATGCTAATTCAGATCCAGCTTTCTGCATTGTACCCCCTTGTCCACTTGGCCTCTTGTCCAAGGCGTCGTACATTTCTTCCTGCTTCTCCTCTATCCTCCACACTTCCCTTAGGAATACTGTATCCCTGCAGCCTAAACACATGACATACTCCCCCCTTAAAACACACAACCCCACCCTCAAAGCCCCTTGTACCCCTATAACGCACCTCACACTGCAGCACTTAAGTTGTTATGTAACTCATTTGCTTTCTGGCATCGTGCTGGAACACCGACTGCTGTGTTGATAATATTGTTCCAGCTGTTCCTCATCTCTCCTCTGCCCTGCCCTGCCCTCAGGTGGCCCCTCACATCTCTGCCTGCTTTACTGACACAAAGCACTAAGAATGCCCACCATTTAAGACTGGGCCGGCCAAAAACTGAACTGATCCAAGCACCAGGGCGATTACCTCTGACGACTCCACAATTACTGTGGACTCCATGTGACTCTCGATAGGACTAAAGCGTCTTTGCTGTTGAGGCCATGAAATACCTTTAGCAGTTTGTTGCTCGTGAGGAAGTCGGTAGATGGTTTGAGGATGACTGTCATGGCTTTGGCCAGCTCCTCATGGATGGTCCTCAGAGTGGTATCTGTGTAGGGCTCCGTTTTGAACACATACTGTGAAATGAGAGAGACCATGTGTTTGGGGTTTGTTAAAGCCAGATATTCGGAGTCATGTGGTGTGGGATTATATGATAGCAGACAGAGTATGCAAAGAATGTGATAGGCAGGCCTACCTTCACATAAGACCGCAGGTAGTGCTCCAGGCCTTCTTCGTGGCATTGGGAGACGACGTGGATCATGACCCTGGGAGGGCAGGAGAGCAGCATAGTGCTCAAACATCCACACCAACATGACACTTTCATTCCTGCTGTATCTGTACCAACATGATGCCCAGATTCCTTTGATCAGGGAAGGGGGCACAGCTGATAAACAATACTGACAGCTGCGGGGCAACAGCGCGCATGGCATTAGTGTTTTACTGTCAGAGCGAAGTCTGTCATTACATCACAAAGTAGTGAGCGCCGTTCGAGGGGTCTGCATGAATCATCGATCAATAAATCGTTGGATCAATAAATGCTTTTTATAGCCCAATAAACATTGTTCTGTCAGCATTAAAGCATTTTTAAAATGTGTAAAATGAGTTTTGGCTTGAAGAACATACAATGGAATGCATTACACTCGCTCATATGATTAGTTTAAATTGGAAGTGCTGTTTTGCTCTTCAGGGAGGAGGCTGTTGCTTGTTACACTTCCCAGAAGATACCAGAACCTTCCAGAGGCTGCCTACTTGGTGACGTTGACCGCCACGTCCTCATGGGAGGCGCTGGTCAGCACGCGGAATAGCTGGTTCAGGATGGTGGGCAGGAACTGGACCATGACGTGTCCCTCCATTGCATGCAGACTCTGTGGGGGAGGGCCAAGTTCAGCAGGGCATACTGAGAGGATGCTGTAACTCAAGGCTGTTATAAAGCTGCACCACAAAAGAACTGCAGGAAAATCACAGGGATTTGCCATAATTTCCACCCAATTCACAATATTATGAAGAAGCCCATTTGTGAGCGTAAGGCTTTCTGAAGAACATGTTTTGTCAGTTAGAAGGTCTCCCAGGAGGGTCACCCCCAGGGCACTGCTGCTGTATGGTGGGCACAGCTGCTCCTCACCTTCAGGAACTTGACCAGCTCCCCGCCGGATGCTGGGCTGGCAGACCTGCTGCTCTGACAGTGGTGGAAGAAGTTGTGCAAATGCTGATCCTGTAAGGAAGATGACAGAGTTTAGCCATCAAACAAAGAGTCTTATTTCCTGCAGCGACAGAGGAGATACACAGCAAGACCCCATCAGGACAGCTGACCTGAGTGTAGATGGTCGATACGAGGTGAGTGGACACTTTAAACAATGGCTTTCCTCCGTCAACCCATTTAATCTCAGGCCCAGAGTGCTGAAAATGACACAAAATGAGTTACTAACCCAGTATTAATACTAGGCATTTCTAATCAGCTGCACTAATGATCCCCAATGCAGTGCATAAGCCTGCCAGCAAATGCCCTCTTATCGACTTAAAAATGGATTCAGCTCAGATTAAGTTCGTTATCATTTCAAGGGAACAGCAAAAATATCCCTCCAGGTATTTCAGCAAACCTTCGGTCCAATTTTACACTCATTCAACTGCCACATAAGTGAAATAATAAAACAAAATTTAAACAGTAAACCTCTGTACCCCATCCCACTGTACTCCTCTGTACCCCACCCCTCTGTACCCCTCTGTACCATTCTGTACCCCTTTGTGCCCCACCCCTTTGTACCCTGCCCCTCTGTACCCCTCTGTGCCATTCTGTACCCCTCTGTGCCCCGCCCCTTTGTACCCCGCCCCTCTGCGCCCCTCTGTACCCCTCTGTGCCATTCTGTACCCCTTTGTGCCCCACCCCTTTGTACCCTGCCCCTCTGTACCCCTCTGTGCCCTTCTGTACCCCTCTGTACCCCACCCCACTGTACCCCTCTGTGCCCCGTACCTCTGTTACCCTCTGTGCTCTTTCTCTCTGTACCCCTCTCTGCCCTGCCCCTCTGTACCCCTCTCTGCCCTTCTGTACCCCACCCCACTGTATCCCTCTCTGCCCCGTCCCTCTGTGCCCCTCTGTGTCCTGTCCCACTATACCCCTCTGTGCCCCTAAGGGAAGCCTTCACCTTACTACTGCTCTCCTGACAGCCCAGGTACCCGGCAGGCAGGCTTGCAGCCACGGGGACCTGCTGCTCGCTCATGATCACTCTGCCGTCCTTCAGCAAGGGCAGCCAAGCACAGCCAACTGCAGACGGAAAGCATGAGACGCGTCACTGGGCAGCAGCCCTGCTGGAGGTGTGGGCGGCTGGCATTTGTTCATCTCTAGGTCCGACAAACATCAGCAGCTTTAGACTAGGTGAGTGACTAGTTGACAGTGACCGTTATTTATTGGTTTGCAGGCTCTGTGCTCCTGGAGACTATAGTATGCTCTGAGATATTAGGACATTGTGCAAGTGGAATATACTGCCTCTGTAATGACATAAACAACGTATACATCCATGCATAACAATCAACCTAGCATTAAATAAATACTATACAAACGTAAACACTACACTAACAAAGGACACAGGAATATACATCTGTACATATACATAATAAACATCTATACATTGCACTGTTGTGATTTAATACACTGGCAGTTCAGACAGTGAGACAACACCAAGTGAGGGCCAGAGGCGGAGCCTGACCTTGTGTCTCCACTGGGTCCTTCTTCTTGGTGCTGGCCTTGCTGTTGCTGTCACAGCTGACATGGAAGAACGTGAAGAGCAAATGGTGCTTCTCAGTGAGCTGGGTGGGCAGCTCCATTTTAATCTGTGGGTGCATAATGGACAATTATGGCTGTTATACAGAGTACGCCCTGTTGTGTTTTCCATATTTTTACTGGAGGCGCCTAACCTTGGTTCTCCAAGACCATCTCTTAACTGTTCTGTAAATGGATGCCTAATCCCCTCATCAATCAGACTTAACTGAAACATACTCTCAGGGCACCTTAGAAATGATGGCTGTATTGCAGTGTCAATTTAGGCAGCTGAACCTACAAACTGGGACTACATGCATCAGTTCTGTTTTTATGGAGGCGATGCACTTACCTCGTCGTAAAACTCTGGGTTTTGATGATGGTGCAGCACTGCAGCAAATGCATGCTTGGTAAACAGTGGCCCCCCTGGACGCCCATAGATGCACTGCAGGGACCCGACAAAACTGGTAAATATGCCAGTGTGATGACCGATCCTTCAACTCGCTATCCTGGACGACGGCCTACCTTCAATGGCTGGGCCTCCTCCTCGTCAGAGTCCTTGAACTCGATGCAGACCGCGATGTTCCTCGCCTGTGGAAGAACGCAACAACACAGCGGTGACCCGCAGTGGCTCTGTTCCCATTTATGGCAAAGTGCTGCAGGCTGGAAGAACATTCAAGGCCTTTTCCAATGCAACCAGCTGAATGCCATTTCAGATAAGCACTAGGTGTGGCTGTGCTAGCGTGCACCAGACCACAGTACAGCATGGCCTTGCGTCCAGAAGACTGTACATTTACTGCACATATGCTAATTCATGTCCATGCTGATCCAAAGGTCAGGTCAAGGTACCTTTGTGAATGACTTTTGCCCATCATACTTCAGATGCCTGGGGTAAATGTAGAGGTGGTTCTTATAGATGGTAAATGGCTGGGAGCATTTGGCTATACATGGAACAAACTCTTCCACTTCAAAGAGAGGGCCAGTCTCACTGCCCCCAAACTGCCTCACTGGGATATAGGAGGAGGTCACGCAGTCTGTGGAGCAGAAAGTTGGGACATTAAAAACAACCAAGAGAATTACAGTCAACTCTTTCGGATGCAGACACTTCAGCTTTTTCTGAAGCTTACTTGTCAAGTCAGGGGCGACGTTGTCGATGGTAACATCTAGGTTTCCCAGGATTACCGGAAATTTGGCCATTTTTTCTGGCCTGCGGAGGATAGTAAGTGGTAAATGACATTGTTATCTTTTCATTTGGGCCAAATGTAAAACAAACTGAGCTGGATTCTCCCTTGTGAGCAGAGAGTAGTGAAAAAATATTTGTGTAGGTGTAAAAACTGCAGATTTATGATAGGAAGTACTGAATATGATAAAGCAGGAAAGGCTATTATTTATTAAGCGTCTTCCTGCTGACAGCTGAGCCCAGGTTATGTAAAATGTATAAACCAGACCGTACAAATCTTTCCATAAAGTCAACAATGATACAATTAATACTCATTACTGCTGTCATATCATTAATTCACCAGTGAATTCCTTTCCCTTGAAAGAGTCACTCTGGAATACCCTAGACAGAATGATGTTTACGGGACATACTAACTTTCTGAAATCAGCCAGCAGTTTGAACATGTCCTCGTTCGATAGCTTGTTGCTGTCTTGTCTGTAGATGGCGGAAAAACGGGCCGTTTTGTCCAAAGTGCCGGAAGCATCTTTGAAAACAGGCCTGTGAGGAAAAGCTGGATAAGCTGCTGATGCAAGACCTTCACAGCACATGGCTCTCTTAGATCACATTCCATGCACAGGATTCCTGCTGGCACGTTAGGCCTCTGGATGTTTCCATATGGCTCTCTTAGCTTACTTCCCATACACAGGATTCCTGCTGGCACGTTAGGNTGGCACGTTAGGCCTCTGGATGTTTCCATATGGCTCTCTTAGCTTACTTCCCATACACAGGATTCCTGCTGGCACGTTAGGCCTCTGGATGTTTCTACATGGCTCTCTTAGATCACATTCCATACACAGGATTCCTGCTGGCACGTTAGGCCTCTGGATGTTTCCACATGGCTCTCTTAGCTCACTTTCCATACACAGGATTCCTGCTGGCACGTTAGGCCTCTGGATGTTTCCACATGGCTGGGGAGGCAAGCTTTCCTCTCCTAAGGCCTCATTCCCTCTTAAAGTCATAGACCAGCATGGCCCTTTGCAGGACACTTTGTTAAGTGCGCAGGATCAGTTAAGTGGACTTTTTTAAGTGATCCTCTAAAGAGTATTTGTACCGACAGCTCCTGTCTGAGGACACAATAATGCCGTCCTGAGCAAGGGAGCAGGGCAGGCGCAGGGCAGTTGCAGGCACAGGGCAGGCACAGGCACAGGGCAAGCGCAGGCCGCTCTTACCTGGCAGCCCATGCGAAAGGCATCCTGTACTGGCCCAGTCTGCTGCAGGCTAGTTTGGCATTTTTCAAGACCTTCTGTGCTGCCTGCCAGGCGACACCAGACAGCAAGTAACTCAAGAGTTATTACAGAAAAGACATTATTTTCAGCACTTCAGCATAACCAGCTGAGATACCTTAAACTGCCGCCAACCGTTCCTCAGCCACAGGCTCCTGAAATGCTGCCTAATGCATTTCTCATTTTCAGTCTAAAGAGATCCCATTACAGGATATCTCCTGAATGGCTTATAACTGGATTTCTATGAATAAAGCCAGCAAGATTTGGCTGTGATTTCCAATTATGGGTGTCAGGCCAACATTTCTGAGAGTGACGAGGAACGGGGGCGACAGCGGTAGACTAGCGGTGAGCGAGGCCTTGCTCTACCTTGGCGGAGTCTGTGCTCCTCATATACGGCTCAGCACAGTGCGTGATTCCGCCCTGCAGGACCTTCTCGATGTGGGCCACCAGGAAGATGTCCGGGTGAGGGCAAGTCACGGAAAAAACACCCTGCAGAGGGGGGGCACCCCACAAAGGGATCAGGAATTCAGGGGTCGATGCGACAGGGCAGCCTTACCCAGAGGCGCTGGGGGGGCATGCTGACCCTGGCAAATTCTCAGAAATTCATAGAGGCCCCACAATCTACCATCAACCTCCTGCCCCCCCCACGCTAAGAAAAGTGTACTGGGGAGACCCTAGCAAGGGACCTAAGGTCACATTTTGTCAGGGGGCCCATAATTTCTAGCTACGCCACAGTCACTACCATCCCTATCTACCTGATCTCGACTTGAGCCAGAAAAAACAAGTAATTTTACTGAGAATCCCTTTTGATGCAGTAGCTGCCTGCTGTCCTGCCAAAAGCGAATAAGGTGACGTAGATCTCAGCCGTCGTGTTTAAACAAATTCTCAGGCAGATAAAAGGCAAAGCTAACAATAAACACAGCAGAAACCAATGAGAGATGACATGAAATGAGAAAATGAGAAACGAAATGAAAAAACTGAGATGAGACAGTGCCACAGAGCAGCTACATCCATCCATATGCTGTATGAGCGAATGGCATTAAAGACGGGGACCCACCTGTCTGGGGAAATTCAGCCCTCCCTCATGTGGCTCATCAAGGGCCCCCTGCTGGCCTGGCAAGATATCCCCACCCCCGTTCATCTGCTGCCCACCATTGCTGGGAATCATCTGCCGGACCGATGGGTGGTTCATGTCCACGTGGAAATCAGCTGAGATCTTCCGGCTGCTATGGATGTCGAAGAGCGACAGGGTGACGAAAAAGGGCTCCACCTGGAATGCAAGACAGTGTCAGATGGGTTAAAGTTGGATCAACGTTCTTGAAATGAAGACATATACAAACACGTTGAAACTGTCCAAAACAAACACAGCTCAATGGCTTTGTGATCACCAGATGCTAAAAATTACTATTAAAAAATCCATATAAACTAGTCAGTGCTGCTATTATACGAAACTTCTGGATGACTGAAAGTCTAAGGAATGAGATGTGGGATACAGTCGTGTGAACATGAACTAATCCTGGACAGAGAACCTGAAGTGAGCCAGACCCTTGGCTGGGGACGACGACAGGACCATCCCCATGCGATCACTGCCTGACTCATGGGTCTCCCAGGTCAAAGACACTCTGACAAACTTCAGAATAAGCTTTTCCAGCTAACATTCTCAACACTAAAGAACATTGCATAGTGCATCACAAACTCAGCCGAGGACGGAGCAGGCTGGGCTTACATTGGTAGTGGGACCCTCCTCGTTTTCCGCCACGCAGCTTTGCAGGTTGAAGGAAAGGTCGTTGCAGTTCACCAGGACACGTTTCCCAAATTTCTCCTCAAACTGCTTCACATCGGGCTCAATTCCTGAGAAGTCTAGTTTCTGCAAGCGACACAAATCCGAAATGGAAACAAAGATCCACTAATGAGCTTCATCTTTGCTTAAGCGTGAGAAAAATAAATCCATGAAGGCTTCTAAATAGCACAAGGTACTTTATAACCGCATAGACTGTGACTTACTGACCTGCGTGTCTGGGTCCAGAGTAAACAGCTTGAGTCTGGTCTCATTTCTCATTCTAATTTCAATGTCTCTGGCTGTCTGGTGATGAGACAGGAATTGACAGGGAGGAATCAACATTGGACCCTTCAGCTCAGTCACAGTTTAAAATAGCAAGAGAGTCCCTAAGCTGGGTGCCCACAGGGAGTTTGGCCGCGTCGCCTCACTCTGATGACCTTTCCCTGTTATGGGTGTCAGTGCAGAGCTAGACAGGCCTTTCATGAGCAGCAGGCCTGCGAGTCTCACAAGAGGCGCCGTGAGCTGGACCTGTCCACACCCCCAGGTGGTGTAGCAGGCACTGATCTCCATGACGACAGACCATCCATACTAATTTGGCTCAGAGAAGTTCATGCGCACCATCTTCAAGCATCCAGCATCAGTGCTAAACACGGCACACACTCTGCATCCACACTTTTATTTTATGTCTTACACCTTGGATCTAAGCTGACTGCTTGGATGATCCTCTTATAACAGGGTTACTTTCATAATTACATTCAATGTTTTTTGCAAAATTGAATATTTATTAAGTACAATGATTACAGACAAATTATGGCATTATACATATTTAATTTAATAAGGGAGGTATATACAGGGGTGCAGGTAACTGGTACGCAAGTACGCATTCACCTTTAAGAACGATACGTGCCACAATCGATTGTTTGTAAAAGCGCAAATGCGTGCTTATTTTATGACAAGAAAATACCTTGCGTTTTATCCCGTATACTGCAAATGAAGTTGCGTTTGCATATAAAGACTAAAATGCATTATATTTTGTTTTCATAGCAGCGCAAATGCACATAAAATAAGCACGCATTTGCGCTTTTGCAAACAAACGATTGTCGCACGTATCGTTCTTAAAGTTGAATGCGTACTTGCGTACCAGTTATCTGCACCCATGGGTATATAGCAGTATATGAATATTTGGTTTGCTTTTCCGTCTTCAGAGTTTCCTATGAGCCGTCTGGAGGTGCCGTCACTGGCAAACGAACGCAGAGATGACTGCTTTGCTAACAATGAAAACAGTTCACCTGATAGCTGTCCAGACCTGCACAGGTGCTCTCTGCTTTCCCCAGATCTTCGTCTGTAAGAAAAATCATGAACACTCATGCTAAGAGCTGTTAGCTATCCCTAATTCCCTAGATATCCCAAAATTCACCCTACACTTTTGCCCACAAGTTTTCTATTGAGAAGACAATGGGGAGACATTTAGCGGCACACCGGCTGCATTCCCTGTCTTTTACGCACACATTCCCGAGCAAACCTCAAACCAGTGAGGGAGTGTGCGTACGCAGGCTCTGGGTGGTCTGGTCTGTCGCCACAGCTTTGTGGGGGAGACTGGGGAGATTTCTGGGCAGCTTTCCCAATCATGACGGTTGAATACAGGCCTCCTCTCCAGCGGGCTAATTATGTGCCTAAATCTGCATTCTTTCATTGGTCTATGACTTATCTATGACTGCTACAGAGTAACCTTCAGCTGACCTAAGCTGATTAATGGCTGGTACATGTCTAATTGGCTGTGTCTGATCTATGGTTGATCTATGGCTGATCTTTGATGGGAGTAGCATGCCTATGAGTTCTTCACCTGTTTGTAAGCGCCTGGTTTACTTCCAGGAAATGGGGCAGCTATGTCTTTCCTCTCTTGGTCCAGGTCAGACAGAATAAAAATGAGACCAGCGACCTTGAGCCTTAGGCCATTTCTCTGCCCTCTTCCGATCATTTTTCCCATAGGGGATCTCTGGCTGTTTTCTCTGTGGGTGGCAGAGTGTCCTTCTACTATCGCCATGTTTGTATCACATTGAGATCACGCAGAAGCACATTTATCAGTGGGCTGGAATATTTGTTGATATTTCAATCCAGGGTTTATCACCACAGAATTAAAGTGCACAGATATGAGCTGGATGTGTACATTTGTGCTTTGCTTCTAAAATGAGTTCTTATTGCCGATTATGCTCTTTATTTCAGGGTTTTTGACAAATCAAGAGAGTAAAGGTTCCCCTAACTTATTCCTTCTACTTAAGGACCTTAACAACAACAGCCCCAAAATTTAATTAAAGCGTTTTTACATCCAGCTAACACATCATGGAGGTTCTGGCTTCCTAAGGTTCCTGGGTTGCCCTCCAGCCACAGGTCACCCACCGTCATGCATGTCCCCATTGCGCTTCTCCTGCATGGCGATCTCGAAGCTGCTGTGCAGGATCCTGTTGAGGGTGCTGATCCAGTCCTCCATCTCCAGCTCGCTGTCAGCGGCCAGCAGGTACGTGCTTTTGTCCTGCATCTTCAGCTCGAAGGCAAAACGACGCACCTTGCTATTCTGCGGACAGAAAGAGGACAAGAGGAAGAGACATGACTGACCAGTGATCATAAGAGTCACGATGTAAAGTACAAGATTTCAAATTTAACATCAAGATGACAACGTGACATCTAAAGCATAATGTTCTGCTAGTTCAGCAAAACAAAATAAAACAGCAAACGTCTTCATACCCAGGTTGTTTACCACAGTTGTGTAAAGCCCTTGCAAACAACACTGTGCCAGTACTAATGAAACTACTGAGCTCGCTGTCAGAGGGAGTTCACTGCAACACCTACGACATTCACCATGATGGCAAGGTAATTACTGGGCCGCTGAGCTGCTTCCGCAGATGGTTGGTTGACACAGCAACACAAGGGAGTGTCAGTTCATCATGGAACAGTCAGGAGAGAGAAGATAAATCCAGAATGGCCAGAGAACATTCAGCCATAACTCTGAAAACAACACCAGGGCATGGCAGACCTAATGAAATTTCCATCGTCCTTCCTTAAACAATAGTCTAATGGCCCTTTTTCTGTAAACAGATAGTTACATTCAAACAGAAATATGGAGTTAAAGAACCCAGCACATTTGGCAGTAAAATGGTGAGGCAGCGCTTGGCTGGAGCTTGTGGTATCTCTGTACTGTTGGCAGCAGGCTGCTATAAACACGAATGTGGAGAAAAGCTAAAAATGCAGAAAACTGTGAATCACCTTGGATAAAGTAAGGTGAGGTAACTTCCCTGGCATATGAAAATCCAAGGGCAAAACTGCACCTCGTCATTTAGCCAGCGTGCAGTTATGAGTTAGGACGGGTGTTAATAATCTGGGCCTTAGCTTGGGGGGGGAGGGGGGGCAAATGGCCACCATCCTGCAAATGTGCAGCATGTTTTCCAGGATAAGGAAGGTGCACATTCTGCCTGCTGCTCAAATTACAGAAAGTCTGAGTGCTGAGCCTGAGAATGTGGGCCAAGAGTCAGGTGCAAAAAGCAGGCCTCAGTGTCGATCAGAGATGAAAAGCAGGCCTCAGTGTCGATCAGAGATGAAACGCAGGCCTCAGTGTCAATCAGAGATGAAATGCAGGCCTCAGTGTCGATCAGAGATGAAAATCAGGCCTCAGTGTCGATCAGAGATGAAATGCAGGCCTCAGTGTCGATCAGAGATAAACGCAGGCCTCAGTGTCGATGAGATGAAAAGGTCTTCTCTGGGGAGCACATCTCCAGTCTGTTACCTGTCTGAACCCTAAACTCTCACTAGGGGGGAGGGGGCAGTTTTTTCAGGAGGCAGTATTCTCTCCACCTTGATGTGCCGGAGAAGCCTTCTGCACTTAATCGAGTGCAGCCCTATCTCCTCGCCAGCTACCTCCCTGTTGCTTGCAACTGCAGTTACATTATCTAGGCCGCATGACGTGCGTATCCTCAGGGAGGGTAAGATGCTCAGCAACCAGAGACACAGAACTGGGACAGAGGTGAAAAATGAGACAAAATTACAAAAAAAAAAAAAATCACACTAAAATTATGTGCAAAATCTTACTACCACAATGACCAGCTCTACATGCATAAATATCCAAAGTCCAGAATTTGCATGGAAGCACTGTGCAGATCTTTCAAGTTTGTGAAAGATGCAGGTAAAAAAAAAGCATAGTTATCACTACTACTCAGCACTCATGGAGGCACTCGGACGTGTGGCTGTAAAGTCAACACTCATGGAGGCACTCGGTCGTGTGGCTGTAAGGTCAGCACTCATGGAGGCACTCGGTCGTGTGGCTGTAAAGTCAACACTCATGGAGGCACTCGGACGTGTGGCTGTAAAGTCAACACTCATGGAGGGCTGGCGGAAGTTTTGTCTTAGCTTCTGAAATGTAAGCAGTAGGCCATGTATGACACCTTTGATGCCACACTGACCTTTCGCTTCCGTCTTCTGTCAGTTGGCACAGAGAAGCACAAAGACAAGACATTACCTGGACGACACCCATGCAAGAGTCCAGGAATATGGTTCCTTTGGGCTCCTTGGAGATCTTGTCATCCTTGTAGAAGTTCAGGTTGTAGGAGCCGTCGCCCAGCTGTGTCAGGTGGAAATACCTCCTCTTGAAAGACTGGAAAGCAGAATCAAATTTTCAAGAAACAAACAAATATTTTCCAAATTAAAACGAAGAGAGGCATTAGAACAAGGTTAAATCATCATCGGCCCTGTCATCCTCTATGCCATTATTACTGTCGTCGCTGACTCACCCGCATGGTCACACTCATGGCACTGTTCATGTTGCCTTTGTACAGCCAGCCTTGTTTGGTGACGCCGCCCTTCTGCGAGCCCAGAGACGCCGTATCCTGGAGGATCGCCAAGCTGGCCGTCAGTATGCAAGCAGTGTGAACTGCATGTGCACATTCAACATATATATTCAGCTAATTGTGGACAACAGCCTCTCTGTGCTCCTCCCCCCAACAGCCCCACTGATGTCCCATCGCACCAAAAATCGGCCAGATGCTGAATGTCTGCTCTCTGGGTGAGAACCGGGCAGCAGGAAAAGCATCGGTTTCCCCACACGCTGCCACTCAGTACCTGAAGGAGACGCCCTGAGGTCTACCGAGGCTCTTAGTGCCAGGCCCAGTCCAGGCCCGCGTGTGCCACCACGGCCAGTTCCTGCCTGGCTATTCATAGGCTGCTGAGTAAGCCACCTTCTGAGCAGATTAAGCGGATTAGAAGGAGCCACTGAGCAAAACCATAGAACTCCAACTGGGACAAAAAATCGGTAAATGCTGACCTGGACCACAAAAAAATGAAATGGACCACACGGAGACTGGAGGGGGGTTCCAGCGCTCCGGACGCTGTCCCACCTCCTCTTAATCATATTCTCCGCCATGGCTAATCCCCTTGTTGAAAGAGCTTTCTTTCTTGTCCAGCACTGGAGAGCTTTGATGATTTTTAATGAGAGGAAAAAATAAAAATCAATCCCCAGTCTGGGGCAATTATTGAACAGGCACATGTCTGGCAGCCTGAATTGTCTAGTGAAGCCAGCAGGACCCTGCGCCTGTCCCACCCTTTCTCTAGGGGGGGCTGACATCACTGTGGAACGGAAGAGCATTTCGCCGGGGTGTTCGCGATATTTTTGTAGTAAACAGAAATAGACAGGCTTGTTATGCAGCGGAGTCAGGAAGCAACATGTGGGGGGGGGGGGGAAGGGGGCTTTTTCTTTTCACTAGATTCAATAGCTACATGTGAAATTCAATAGCAACTAAGTTTGTCAATGACAAAAACACACCCAAGATGGGCAGCGGGGTCAACAAAGCCAACAGAGCTCGATATAACCATGCTGTAAGATCTTAATCGCTCATTCACATGAAAACGCAGTGAGCTCAGCGAGCCGTACGTTTCCTGTGCAGACCGCCAGGCAGGGATCTCTACCAAAGCACAAGCAGTGGTCTAAGCCACAGTGTTCCTTCAGAAAATATATTCACAGATAGTAACTGATTTCTTTACAGGCGAAACAGTGAACAGTGCAGGATAGAAGAATCCAGCAAAATTTAAATCACAAGCCCACTGCATATCCAGAATCTTCAGCTGCGGGTGCAAATGCAAAGCTTGGCTGAAAGAGTTTATGACCGGCGACCTTCTGCTCTCCATTCCAAAAAGAGTAGCTGGCAGGGGGATGAATATTCTGACTCACCTCATCTTTGTCAGCATCCTCATCTACTTCAAACACGTGGACTGGCAGCTTCTCTGCCCTGGGCACCTTGCTGCAAGACACATGCCAAGAAAGCGGATTTGGTAACTGCGGCCTCCTGGGCAGAGGAAGGATCCGGCAAGGTTGCAAAACCAATTGGCTGAGCAATAAGAGGGAAATGAAGGCCTTCGATTTGTGACGGCGCCATGCAGCGTCCTGCTACGAGGGGAGCACACAGACATCTTTTTGGGCCTGAAAAATGTCACAGGTTTTTCTCAGAAAAAAAGATATATATGGTCCACAGCTCAGAGGTGGAATTTGCAGAAAAGTAAGCAGTTTTATGTATAGATCCTGTAGAAGCTCATTAATCGCAGCAAGCGACAAATAATAAAAATAATATTTTATAGAGCCCATTTAGGCGTAATATTATAAAAACATAGTGACATCAGCCAAGCACCTAAATAACTGATAAATGCAAGTGGTATGATTTATTGTGCATTGAGGGCTGACAATGGCCTGTAATAACGAGAAGGCACGCAGGGTCTCCGAGGGGTAGCGTGGCGGGGTGTTGGGTTACTGCGGGACGCCCATTCCTACACATTCCCTGTTTGTCACAGTTACTGGCGTGCCTCAAACAGGATGGAAAGCAATCTGGAAACTCAGGGATAGTATTATGGTAGGATTTTCAAAAAGAAAAAGGAAGATAAATGAAAGCTGAGCAGAAGGCTTACTTCGGAAGCTGGCGGAAGTCTCCGGAATAATCCTCATACTTGTAGCTGACAGTGTGCCAGTCTGAGGTGTAAGTCTTGATACACTGTGAAGACACAACAGACCAATATTTCTCGTGTTCCAAGAAACAGCACTTTATTTTGCCAACTCATTCAGTCAAAGAGGAATACGCATCTAAATGCTGGGGATACTGGAAGAATACGCTGGGGATACTGGAAGAATACGCTGGGGATACTGGAAGAATACGCTGATATGAGCATCAGAACTCGGTTTCCGGGATGCTTCCTGCCAGGCCGTTGGTGAGGACGGGTAAAAACAACCCCACACTCATCTGGTACCTTCTGGGCCTCTCTCTCTTCGAGCAGCATGTTTACCTGCTTCCTCAGTCATTTCCTCACTCCATGCACTTGGACTAATCTGTCTGAATCCTTTAGTCACTTTCCCACCTCTGTAGGTCTTCTGAGTTTTTGCTGGACTTGATCATGCCTTCGAGATTTTCAGACATTTGATGACAACACGCACTGTGATGGGTGCGGGGACAATAAATCTGAGCGCCTGTTTACGAAGGGAGGGGTATTCCTATTCACACCCAAGAAATAAAAATAAACAATAAACACATTCTTTTGGCATTTATCAATTAAGTTAATTAAAAACATGTATTAATCTTAAGCATCGTTGTAAACATCATATATGAATGTTCATTTAAACTTTCCCAACAAAAGTGGCATTTATAGATCATTACATTTTCGTTGGCCAATATGACTGGCAACAAAAAAGTGTATAATCTGGTGAAAAACCAGGGATCAGACCTGTACTCAAAACAGGAAACAGTCACATGATTTATTTCCATATATTTGCCGCAGAGTTCCCAAACACGATTTGTAACTCACTAAATGCCAATAAACATGAACAAACACGTTTTGCTTGAGCAGGCTGGCAGGAATTATTACAGGGAACTCGCAAACACTTCATCAGAGACGGCTGGAAGGAGATTCACTAAGTGCATGTATCTAAACGCCGTCTGCCAAACGCAATGGGTGTATGAAGAGAATAAGAGCAGACTTAATGTCTTCCCTTCCGTCCTTCCGCTGGGACATCTGTTCATTGTTAGACGCTCCTGTTACACGGGCATGGAGGATTCATTTCACAGAAATCGGTTGTACAGGTTACAGGAAAAACCACAGAAGACTCCCAAGGCCGATGATCAGTACGGTCTGCAAGCCGTCCCCAAAGAACGCGCAGATAAACACAGAGCCGTGTTGAGGCCTGCAGCCGCTGCTGATGATGCCTGTGCTGAGCATGGCAGACGGGAGGGGCTAAACTTCCCTGGGGAGCCTCCCTAGGGTCCCCCCAACACTGGCTCACCACACCCTGACCCAAATGCCTACAGAGGCATGCATGTGACCCTCAGGAGCCCGGCAAAGGGTGGGGCCGCGATGAGTCTGAGGGGGCTGCACGTCTGAACCCCGGGTGCTGCTTGGGAATTTCTGCTGTGCAAAATAGGAGCCAACGGTTTTTAGACATGGAGTAACAGTCTAGACATTTGGAAAAACAGGGACACTTTGAGATCCTGTTTAAACGCCCCCATAACCCCCAGATCCAGAAACGTCTGCCTGCTGTGGCATAATGAAGTGTTAACCACTGGGATGGGGATGCTGTCCGTATCTGTTGCTTAGTCTGTAGAAAAGTGTTTCCATGAATTTCTATGTAAACATGCGTTTGTGCCCTCTGATGGACTGGCATCCCATCCAGGGTGTACCCCAGCCCCGTGCCCTGTGATGGACTGGCATCCCGTCCAGGGTGTACCCCAGCCTCGTGCCCTGTGACGGACTGGCATCCCGTCCAGGGTGTACCCCAGCCTCGT